CCCCCCTCCTAAAGTTTAACTTGGCACCACTAAAGGCATGCGTATGCAAAAATCTGAGACCAATTGGTTATCGTATGTAAAAGTTATGCACGTTTTACTTTCAAAAACGGCATCTCAGGAAATAATTCGTGGGGGGGGGGGGCTTTTAAACAGCGATATTTTATGGCCGTCTGGCAAACCTTCAAGGTATAGGCTACCTACTGCAAAAAATTCCAGGACTCTAGGATCATTCTCCTAGAAGTAGTTCGAAACGGCAGAAGTGGGTCCGGACGGACGGACGGACAAAACGCAAACAATAGCACTTTTTTTTAATTCTTAAAAAATGCGCTAACAATCATGCACTGCCGACACTGTACTGTTAATTGTGAGAATTGAACATCTTTTGTTTCACCATGGCACACTTGGGTTCGGAAAAGAGCGTTTTTTTTTACAAGTAGCGTTTCGACTTGGTTTTTGTCTGAAATTTTCTTATGCAATGTGTGGTTTTGTTTATATCAGTGGAAAAGTTGTAGTTTTGGCTACCCAGAGGTATAATTTGTTTAGGGGGGTGCCATTTAAAATTTTTAAAAACTATGACATTTAGCGAAGGTCAATCAAAAATTTTATTTTTTAGATTAAAAAAATTATGTGATTGTGGAAGAGGTCTTAACCTGTGCCTCAATCCAAAAAAATAGCCGTCTGCGCGATTTAATTTGAAAAAACTGTCAAATTTTGACGAAAAGGTTAGGTATAACAGCGAAATCGTTACTTAGGGGTATATCATGTTACATAAAAAAATAAGTACTTTCCAAGTACTCTCCAAATCAGTAATAAACCCATAAACAGCGTTTAAAAAAGCGGCAGAGCACCTCGATGTGACCCCAGGGAGTCATTGGATTTGACCCATTTTCAATAGACTTGTTACATGTGGCATATAAGTCTACTGTGCAAAGTTTCAACCGAATAGGTTCAAACGTTTGGCAGGGACAGAGTCGTGTGACCCCACGGGGTCATTGGATTTGACCTATTTTCAATACGCTTATTACTTGTGGCATGTAGGTCAACTGTGAAAAGTTTGAACCAAATCGGTCCAAGCGTTTGACAGTTATCGTGTTTACGGACAGACGGACACCATCGACTTCCCTATAAAGCTTTCATCGCTTTGCTTTGCCGCTTAATAAAGACGGGGTATTTCATTTAAAAAAATGCAAGTTGGATACGCCACTGGAATACAGAACGTCCCTGGTGATCAAAAATATTTTAGAAAGATGCCGGCGATAATTGTGTACAATTTTGTTCTAAGATTTTTTTCGGTCTATTTTATGGTAAATGAGTTATGATCCGAGGGATCTTAGGTGCTACACCCTGTATAATATCCACGCCAAATCAAATTTACTTTACTTGTATTTATAATCAATAAACACGTTAATAATTAGTGTCGATATAATATAAGAGTATTCAAAGTTATTTAAAGATCTTTCGAGGTCATTATAAACTTTTAAACGCATGTTTAAAACCCTGTGATAACTTTCAAGAGTCTTTCCAAAACATAGGAGACCTTCTAAAAAATCAGGTGGACATAATGATATTTAATCCTATATACATCTTCCGGGGCATCCAACAGTCTCTAACAGCCTTCAAGAGGCTTAAAACAAACCAAGAGATTTTTCAACAGTCATCAAAGGGAGTGTTTTGGAATCTTATTGAGACATTAGACTTTAAGAGTCTTTAAGATCTTTATTGTCGCTTAAGAACCATTTAAAATTCTTAAAAAACCTGTTACATCCGAATTGTGAAGAGCTTTAAGGCCTTTTACATGCTTTAAAGATCTCTAAGTGCAATTAAAGGTTTTTAAAAGCCTGTAAGTGTGGCCGTACCCGAGCCGCATTTTGCAGTCGGATCGATAACGAAATTTCCGTCGTTTACGGTAGTCGGAACGCGCATCTGCAGTCAATCCGTTCCCGATCTCCACCGAATGGTCGTCTCGTCCACTGTCGCCGCCTGCGATTGTACTCAACTGAACCGAGACGAGCCGGAATTCATTTCTACCCCTACGATCGCAGCGAAATGGCGGTAGAAATCCACAAAATTGAAGTTGGCGACCACAACGTGACATCACGAAAAATAGGACAAAACATCGTTCCTATTTTGTTTGAGGTGGTCACGTTGTAGTCGTCTTAACTACAAATGCTGTTCATATGACAGCAAGTCAACCACCAAAAATGTTGTTGAGTCAATTCTGTGGTCTGCAAAATGTGACTCGTGTGCGAGCGCCCTGAGGGTCGCCAACAATTTCTAACAGCTTCCAAAAGCCTCCAGGTCAAGGGCTTGGACGCTTCTTGGAGTCTCCAAGAGTTCCCAATGGCTTTCAAAAACGTCTAGAGACTTTGAAAGTGTGTTTGATTCCTCAAGAGCCTTAAAAATCCTTGATACATTTTCAAAATGGCCAAGAGCTACATAGAGTCCTAGACACTGTCTCCTCACTTCAAGACGCTTTTAATAATCTTTAAGAGCCTTTAAGTTTTTGTGAGTTAACACTTACGTTTTCCAATGTCTTCCACAGTTTCAACGTGCCTACATGAGCCCTACAAATTTTAATAGTGTTTAAAGGAACTTGAAGGGTCTTCTAACACTAAATTGAGAGCCAGAATAAAATAAAACGAACGCCTCAAATACCTAGGTCATACCAATAGTTCTTTCCTATTGAGAGATTCCACCCTGTATATACAACTTACGACGATACATACATTTTTGAGAGTTGGCAACCATGCAATGGTGGGGAAAAGCTGCCTGCGCCATCTAGAAAGCACGAACGGGGGTTACGTTTGGCATCTTGTCTTGAATGAAGGTCGTGATTCGTGAACGCGTCGCTCCATAAATGCTTGTTATTATTTTGTGTTTTTTTTAATGCAGGTAGTACTCTTTGCATTTCTTTATATCGTATTTATGTTTTGTATGCCGCATTTTATTTTTTGTGTGTGTTTGAATGTTTGTTTTTGAAATTTACTTGCTCTAACCGCAATGCATAATCACATATCTGATACCGTTATGCTATTGTTTGTAATTGTTTACGTTTTTGGTGTAATGCTTGCGTAATATATGTTTATTGATGTTGATTATTTGGTCTTGTCCCTGAAGTAACATTCATATAAGTTTTGATCATTTTATTTTAATATGTGGAAATTACCGATTCGTTTGATGTATGTACGGACTTGTTGTTTGTAACTAACCATTTTTCTCCGTGAATGAAGCAGTCACGGGGGTGGTAAAAACTGTAGTCAAAATTGAGTTACGACACGTAATTCCGTGATTGTCTTCGACATTTAACTGTAGGCTCGAAACCCCGAAACCAGGGGCGGGCTACCTATCTTGCAGGAGCGGGATTACGCTAATCAAAGCTCTTCAGTTTAGAATCTATGTGCGATAAATGAGTGGCGATTCAATAATTTCCACATATCTTGTTTTTAGTTAAATTTGCCTACAAGCCCATGTAATTTTCCATCATGCGTTTTAACAAAAGGACTTTATTGCACCAAAGATGAGTCACATCCTGTGTATTTCACCCTTTCTTAGAATCTTGGTACCTGCTTACCTGACCCATAATTACCAAAACTTGTTTTTAACCTGTATGTTACCTCTTCAAGTTTACCTGCTACTTTTTGTGATGTTATAATTCTATGTTACGCATTCACAACATTACAAACAATTTGATATTAATTTGACGGCTGGTTTTTTTATTGGCAAGTTCTTTTTTTCCCAGCCTATTTCTATTTTTATTCGGTGAACTACCATTTTCAAAGTTTATTTTTGCAATGTAATTTTTTTCGACTTAAATTTCCGAGCTTTCACAATCTTAATAATTGCGATCATTATTAAACAAACTTTTCACAATTTGAGTGTGTTATTTTACGATCCTTCTCTACTGTGCTTAAGGTCAAAGCGTTGTCTACAACTAACGTAAGGGGTCCCTGACTTAGATGTTTTATCACGTGCCACTTTTCAAATTCAAGCGAGATCTTGTTTAGTTTTGGAGGGAATAGTCATTCGGGTGGCCATTTTTAAACGTTGCCGGGTTGACTTTATTTCCGTGTTTTTGTAGTGTGAAGTTAGCGTAGAACCTGGGGGTTTACACTATACTAATTTGGATGTCTCTAAAAGTCTTCCAAAGCCTGGCGGAGCCCTTAATAAACATTTAGTTTTGAAGAGGTTTAATCTTTCAAAGTACCTCGAAGGAGTTTCAAGAGCCTTGATACTTGATACTTTATTGATCCAAGAACTTTTCAGAGGCTTTGAAATGCCAAGCTCTTGATCTATTTATAAAAGTCGCTGGACAGTAACATACAATGTGTAAACCAAACTAGGCGCACCCCTGCGTAGTTTTGATACAATTGGCGATATGGATTTACGTTTTGGTGGGTGATAAGTGTAAAAACGAATTGAATACCCCAAATGGTACATTTCAGAATTTTTTATGAACGCAAATTTTCGGACTTTTGGGGACGAAGCCCTTTTGGAGCTTCAGTTCAGTGGGAAAAACGTTTGTTTTGGTCCCTTCTATCGTAGCTTCTATCACTCATTGAGTCATTGCTCAGAAAAAATAGAAAACAAACTCATGGTTTGAGAGACGTTCTTTTGATTTTGTTTTACTTGCATTTGCGACAGAATATTGACCTGTACAGAAATGAAACTAACACTGGACGCTAACGCTGTTTGACAAAAATTCAGCGAAGAAAAAAATGTAGATTTATACGAGATTATTTGAACGCGTCCATGTATGGTAGAAACGAATATTATATCGGACAGTAAGAAATGTAAAATGGCCATAAATATGCAACGAGTGTCTACCTAATTTGTGTGGTCATCATTCTCTTGCGGCTTTCAGTGATGCCAAACGGTGCTTTTTACAGTGATATTTTCGTACTTTTTATTGTTTGCGCTTCGGCACGCGACGTTTGCGACTTCCTTTTATGGTTACAAGTTACAACCACGACCAACAGACAGACACTCGATAATCTACTTACCTAAATTTAAGGTTAGATTGACCTGGGAGGGATATTGTATGCCTTCCAGCATGGTTTCGGATTGCCACCAGGTCGGCTCATCCTGGCTGTGAAAATCGGTAAGGAAACGGGCGCTGTGCTCGTCCGGGTAGCAGAGCTCGCACGATTTTTGCGAGGAGACTCCGGTCTGAATGCAGTACTCGATTTCTCCCTCGTCGCCGCACGTGTTCGTCGCCTCCATGAACAAGTTGAAGGCTGCATTTCCGAATTCCGGTATGCATCTCTGTAACAGACGAGAAGTGTGCATGACAACATGTTATCGCAATTCTTAGATAAAAGCTTTATAAATAGACGCGATTATTTGAAATGTGTTGCCGAGGAAGTTGTAAAACTGCGTGAGAGATAATAATTGGCGATGCCGATATTTATCGCACCCAACCCCTACAATATAGAGCATGCAATACTTGTCAGTCAGTTGACTTATGATTCATAATTCAAAATTTTTGGCACTTGCGCATTGTAGTGCTCTTTAGTATTTCAACCATAGGCCGAATGTCGGAGGAAGACCAGGAAAGCAGGGATAAGTAAGTATAATAAATGTGATACTACAAGGTAGGCAACCTTAGTTGCATATTCTGGTCAGGATCGGACGGCCGGTTGTGTAGACACCGTCAACTGTGGTTCCCTTACGGCCCGTACCGGTTAATTACCTGTAATCAATTCATTGTTTACGACGGTGAACAGATATGGCCCAATCCGGAAGTATGGGAGGTCAAGATCGCTTTCACGTGGTCTTATTTTAGGGCCAAGGATGCTTTCACATGATCTTATTGTAGGTACTGTACCCCTACACGGACTCTAGTTTTCCTTAAAACGGAATGTTATAGTTATAGTGACCTTCTTGTTTCCCAATGAGGTCCGCTAACATTTACCTGGTAAGGTCGTTTAAAAGGAATCTTCCGAGCGATTTAAAGAGCCCTTTTGAAGAGCCAGTTCAATATTTTGGCCATCACGGAGGGCTGTGGCAATTGTGTCCCAGTCAGATCTATCGACCTAAAGCACAATCCCAAAAGATCGCCGCAGTACTAGGCAACGGAAGACTGCCGTCTTGTAATCCTACAAGAATTGTCGTTACGGCAAGTGAGATGGGCTCATGCACAAAAATAAATAAAAATTACCAGGACTGGGGAGAAGAATAACAAATGAATGAAACTGAAAGGCATTTAGTGACTGGGGCATAAACGAAAAAAAGTACTTCGAGTTTCTAGTTTGGAATCTACAGGAATAATGCATTAATGAATAGGTCTGGAATACACGGGGATACGGTTCTGGTTCTGATCGGTCTCAGGAAAAAGTTCCTGGTGAAATGCAAAATCATGCTTTTATAGGGACAAGATGGAACACAAACAAGTGGGAAACTAAGAAGGGGTTCAATTTCCAACGATGAGGGACGACGGAGGCGACATCTAATTTTACAACACTTACAGAGTTTTCTTACAAACCGCAATAACTTTAGACTACCAATCTGTGCCAGACTCTGTCTACGTTGACTGCAAATGTTATCCTTGATAAAACAAAGATCTTATCTTATTTTTACAGTAAAATAATATAGCAAATGTGCCATAGAACTCCGCCATTTAGACAGTAATATCCGTACCACCAATAAGAAAGCTAGTTCTGCACATGCGCGCAACGCACCTGACTTTTGACATATTTTTCGTAATGGATCGACTTGCTTTTAATCGGAGAAAATATTTAATGCATTTGTGTGGGCTATGCCGGGTTTTGTCCCGTAGAAGGTTTCCCTGGTATAGCCTTGTTGAGTGCGTAATATATTTATTTGTTCTTGTGATTTCTTCTCGGCTTGAGAGACCCCTAGGATCATTACAGAGGTTTGGATGGCTGTATACGCTGGGGTATGCGGTGGTATATCCATACTAATAACCGGCAAATTTGGGGCTACTCTATACAGCTTAGAGTAACAGAAGAATGGTGTAGGGAACACTCCTTGTCCATGAACCCTACAAAAACGGAGCTAGTTCTCTGCTATTCCAAGAACACCTCTAATTTTCAGAATCAGTGAAATATCTAAAAATCACGCTTGACAAACAACTGAATTGGAGCAAACATATCCAGCTCAAAGCCGAAAAAGCAAATAGGGCTTTCTGGCAAAGTCGCTGCGCAATTGGGAGACTTCGGGTACCATAACCCGAAGACTGTATTGTGGCTGTACACTGCTGTGATCAGACCTATGCTCTGCTGTGGACCAATTGTCTGACATGCTGCCAGACTGTGACCAGACTCTCCACAACTGTAGCACTTCTTAATCATGTGCAAAGATTTGCGTGCCTTGCTGGCGCGATGCGAACAACTCCCACAGCCGTCATGGAGGCCCTTCTGGATCCGCTTCCACTTGATCTCCACGTGAGAGAGCAGGCCACTCTGGCATCCTTGCGTCTTAAAAATAAGGGATTATTGAATAGCAGAGGTATTGAAGTGGGCTAGTCGAAGCCTGGGCGAGGCGATTGCCTATCCTAGAAGGGCGATCAGACTCAGTCACTCCCCAATTCATATATTAGGGAAAAACTTTCACATCTTTCCTGATGAGGATGTGGCATCCCAACTAGACATATTCATCTTAATGGATAGATCTAAAACAATTTAAGGAACAGACACTGGTATTTATTCCAAAGAGTTGAACTTCCATATGCACTAGGCACACTTCCTACTGTATTCCAATCAGAATAATTGATAGGACTAGCGCTTGAGGGTATCCTGACTAGACATGACATCGCCAATTAGAGCCGCCTCCCCTTCCAGCATCCTTAAGATCATCTCACGTATGGGATGGTTTCAGTGACATTGAGAGGTCGGAAGACTCAAATCAGGGAGGTAGTAGAAAGGGCCCGAATTTGAGGCCTACATACGCCGTTGTATCGTAATCCAGAATACATAACGCGGGCAAACCTCAGAAAAGAAAACGAAACTATAAATGTACATTTATTTTAATATTTTATTTAATTAAACAAAAATTGCTCCACAAATAAGAAAGTTGATTCGGTCAATTTTTGTTCATTTCTTTTTGGGTAAATCAGTACTTTTTCGCATTTTTCCTTGCATAAAAGTTAAACTAGGACCTAATTGTACAATAGGGTCATAAGGTGAGTGGTCCAGCTACTTCCCCTTTTCTATCAAAAACCGCATTGCACTGTTGTGTGGGAATAAACATTGTCGTGATGCAAGTTAGGCCAATGGGAAATTTCCATATAGTTTAGCTAATGTAAGCAGATCTTCAAGAGTCACTGGGTTTAGGATTAGTACAGGGTATTAAAATAATTTAGGGCGTATCATAGTCGTTGATACGTAGGTAGTTACAGTGGAATTTTCCATGGGTGGCTTTTATTTGAGATTCATATACCTACAGCAGGCATGTGCAACCTTTTTTCCAAACTCATTTTTTAAAAAAACAAGTAAATTGACACGATTTTGCATACAAAATTTACCAGACGTGGATAATAAATCCCCATATTCAGCTTGTATTCAAATTTTCATGTATGCTTGCGGCAATATATGCTTAATCCAAAAACAAGTGTCGTTTTATTGCCCCACCCGGTATATATATCGACGAAAATTCTGGAAAAACCTGGTGGTATCTCTGAAATCTTCAAGAGGTAATATAATCATATTAATTAATTAATTCGAATTGTTAATGTAACTTAGCGGGCCGGCTATGAATTATGTTAGCGGGCCAGATAAAACTTATCGGCGAACCGGATCAGGCCCGCAGGCCGTGGGTTGCTCATACCTGATATACAGGGTGGTTAGATAGTATTTGGGAGATTTTGTGAAGGTGATTTCAAAGTTCAAGCAGGATTTTTAAAAGTCAGTTACGATGTTTGTAATGTATGATGGATCGGAGGTTTTTGTTTGTTTGTTATGTGAGCGAAATGTATTTATTGAATTTATTTATATTATATTCAAGTACTGTTATGAAATGGGTCTCAAAACCTCCCAGGTCATTTGCACATATGCGACAGCGACCCGATTTATAGCACTAAAATCAGCGATTATTTATCGCACCGATGATTGAATCGCGGCCCATTTTGACATTCATTTCTAGTAGCGGAGAACTGGTGAAAGAATTAATAACAGACACAAGAATTTATTTCATAACTCAAAACGCAATAAATAATAAAGTATATTTGAAATAAAGAGAGGCGCACGCCCATTACATCCACGCCACACGCAAGTGGTTGACACAAATAAACAAAAAAAATCTTAACATTATTACAGTTTTTGAAATAACAATCCCTTGATCTGGTCGTAAGAAACAGTGAAACGGTCGTGCGATATTCCGATGCACTTAGAACTGATGCACAAACAGCTTCAAGAAAACTTCACCACTTTTCTACTCGATTGATAAAATGATAACATAAATTTACTTAATTAACATAAATTGGCTTAATTAACACAATTACTAATTTTCAATCCGATGGCTGTTCCAAACGGGCAACACTTTGACCTTTATTAACCAGAAGAGCCTTCCAACAAAGTCTCGTTATGCACTGCTTTTCCAAACCGTCGTAACTACTTCTTTAACGAACAGGCCACTTTTCACAAGACTTTAATCTACATAGATTTTTCTGAATAAGACGAAAACTATTGCCTCTTCTAACAAACATAAATGCCAGTTCCTTGTTCATGCCACAAACCCCTGCGATTCTGGATCGGCTGGTGTATGTTATGTTACCTACCTTCCAGTTGTGTGCATACTTACTCGCCCACCAAGTTACAGTAACAATTTGAATTAATTAATTAATATGATATTATACGTGCAGGACGCGATCCGAAGCTTCCAAGACGTTTGAAAGCCTCTTGAAGATGCATTTTTTGTTTCAGAGATGTCGCCAGGTTTTTCCAGAATTTTCGTCGCGATATATACCGGGTGGGGCAATAAAACGACTCGTGTTTTTGGATTAAGCCATATATTGCAACAAGCATACATGAAAATTTGGATACAAGCTGAATATGGGGATTTATTATCCACGTCTGGTAAATTTTGTATTCAAAATCGTGTCAATTTACTTGTTTTTTTTTTAAAAAAATGAGTTTTACGAAAGTAAAAAATAGGTCAAGACCAAAAAGAAATACATAATTATCGCCTTCTTTAAACATACTTTTTATTTGGATTTTCAATTGTGGCCCGTGGCGTATATGAAAAATTTTATTTTGGCCCTTTGGAAAAAAGGTTGCCCATGCGTGCTGTACATGAATCTCAAATAAAAGACACCCACACCTATGGAAAAT